ACAAAGGTCATAAATCGCTAGAACATTGTTGTTTAGTAATACATTGGACATTCGTAATTAGTACAATTTCTAACGCTGAATCGAACGGTGGTATTTTTATCCTTATTGCGCCATTAGGCATTACAAATACAAGGATATACCTGTGGACAAACGTAGTGCGAGTGATTTGTGATCAATAATACAATTTCGCTTCATTTTCAAAGGCCACAAATCGCTAGAATACGGGTGTTTAGTAATACATATGACATCCGTAAGTACAATTTCTTACGCTGAATCGGTATCGCTTTCTTCTCAAAATATAAAGCAGCGCAGTCAGACGTATAAACTTGCTTTTATAAACTTGAGATTTGCGAAGGTTGCTGTTTCCATGCGAAATTCCTTGTAAAATTGTTCAATTTTCCCGAATTTTCCTCAAAATGGAGGGCTATTTATGGATAATTTAGGTCAAAAAGGCAGGAGCCTTATGGATAATTGGTGGGAAATTAGGCAGCTCATTAATATTCTATTTTGTGGCTATCGACGATTGGAGATCCAGGATCCGTGATAAATGCAAGCCGAAACCTATACTCGTCCGGGGCACAGGGTGCCCCAGCGAGTAATTAATTTGTTTACAAATGTTGTATTTATTTAATTAAAAAAGGGTAAAAGGGTACAATAAAGTGTGTATTGTATTGTCAATATTCAGTCTGAAAGTGTGTATTGTATTCAGAATATTCAGTTAGGTCAGTGTTTCATGATATCAGATGCATAGCGCAAGAACATCTATATCGAAAGCATCCAGCAAGCCTAGAAAATATATTTCTCTTCTTGGCAGCAAAATTCAAAACTAAAAAATTCCTGTTTAAGGTAATTCCGCAGTAATTGTTCCTGAAATGAGAATGTGCGGAAACTTCCCAGGCATGGAGTTTATGATATACTTAAAGTAAAATCACACAAAAAAGTCGGGGTCACCGAACTCGTTAAGAAGATATGACAATCACAATATACCACCTTTACCCCCAATATGGCGCCATCTTGACGCTCATTACGAGTAACAGCAAACTCACAACAGCCCGATATTTATTGACGTTTTTAGCGCGGATTTTGCTTTAGTAAACCTATCTTGTAATTATTTCCGAAAAAATATTGTGTTTTGAGCAAAATGAAACTACGAACGTGTACAATTCTGATCCACAAATGTCTTTTCCATATTTCTTTACATATTTTTCTTTGAGAACATGCATTGATAAAGGATTGTTTTTTCAAGATCCAGAAATGATTTTTCTTTTAATTTCGGATATGAAATGCAAAATGCATTAAAGAAATAAATTATCAGTTAAAAAACGGGGGTCACCGATCTTTTCAGGGAATTGTGGCATTAAAACGTGAAATACAAGTAAACAAATATACTACAGACACAGGAAACCCTAGCTACACTTTTGTATGCCTTTTTTGAAAACATTGATTTTAACGTAATTCTTTGCACGAATGTAACCAAAGATGTTTTGAAGTAACATAAAATTGTCATAAAATGATTTTTTTTAAACGGTACGTGTAATGGATGAAATTATAAGTTATAAGATGTGCGCAGTAAAAGTGCGCAATGCAAAACTGCAGAATTACCTTAAGGAGGCTCCCTACAGTTGCGTGCGAGATGTTCGCGGGACAAGTACGTGAACTATCCCACGCAACTGCATGATCAAAACAAAACAAAAATTGACCATGTTTTTTTAAAAAATAAAGCTATTTCTGAAAGGTTTCTAATGGAAAAAAGCGTTATAAAATAACATGTATATAACGCGTATTCTGATTGGTCGAAAGCCATGTTTGGATCAGGCCATCCAAACACGGAAGACTACCGTGTTGTTGTTATTTTATAAAACAATTACTTTATGGTTTCCGTGTTTGGATGGACTGATCCAAACACTTGGGAATGTTGCTCGAGTTAAGAAAAGCGGGCAAAAAAAGCGCTCGCTTTTCTTAACTCTCGCAACATTCCCGCGTGTTTGGATCAGGCCATCCAAACACGGAAACCATAAAGTAATTGTATATTGAATAAGACTTCGTTTTGAGTGCCAAATCACTTGCGAGTCTATACAGCAATTCTACATATGATACGAATGTCACCAGATCAAAAAATAGCTACGAAACAATTTTTTTATTTTTTTATACACTGTCAACTGACTCAACTGTAAAACATTTGCAAAATTGCATACAAACGTTTAAAAAGTTGTTTACTTCTCATGAAAACGTTCACGTTTTTAGTCGTGTTTCTACAAGGTTAAAGTGATTATATGTAAACAGAAAAAGATTTCAGTTTCATAGCCTAATTGTTCATTTTTAGCAAAAAGTACAAAACCAAACATGAAACAAAAAACACGTCCACCTGTTAGTAGGCTGTTACAGCTCACAGATTGAGTAAACGGCAGGATTCAATTAGCTTCAACCTTGTTTTCATCGATTTAATCCTTCACAATAATCCTTGGCTGTCCTTGGCACTCAAATAAATCGAAAAGTTGACAAAAACAAAACAGTAAAAACAACATTGCTGCTCAATTTTGCTGAATGAAAACTCGTTCTGCGCCCGCGTACAATCTTTTACTAGTCAGCGACGCTTTTCAATGAGGGGAATTTCTCGAATTACACGAGGCTATTTTCTAACTTTATTTGTATTTTACTCATTAGTTTCATCGGTGACCTATCTTCAAATTTTGACCACGAATTTATTTTGCGGTAAATTTTATAGATTTCAAATTTTAAAAAAATCTGTAGTGTGGAAATTTCGCAATAAATTTTTCGCTTTTAAAAAAATCACACACTACAGAATTTTTTTAAACTTTCACCACAGTTGCAGAGCATCATTCCCTATTGATATATGAAATAAAAAAGATAGGTCACCGACATCGTTTTTGAGATAGCGGCACATTTATGGGTTAAATTGGAAGGTTTTATGCTGTCGTCATGTTGCCATGGGAACATTGACATTGTCGAAATCTAGTTCGAAATATTCCTTAGGTGACCAATATTGCCACCAAGTCGAAAAGAATTCGCGTTCTGCACGAATAAGCCTGTTTTACGGAATTATTGCTTAAACAAGAATAACTGTAGGGAGCCACCTTAAGTCAAATATAGAACATCCTGCGTATGTAGATTTCAGAGAACGTATGGTGCCGCACATTGTGATAAAACTTCGATCTCGACACAAGATAACCTCGACTTTTGTAAACATTATATGGCATATACAGCATTCCAGTATATATTAATTGAAGATGACAAAAAATTTCCTGCAAGTTGTACGAAAATTTCCTGCTAAGGTATTTTGTTAAAATTTCCTTGCAGTGTTGTGGCTGGACATTTTTCAGCATTGTCAAATCGCACTCTGGTGTCGATACTAAAACAATTAGACAACTTGGCCTTGAAGAGTAATTACCTTTTGCGTCTTGCATTTGTTTGTTGCTAGGCCAATCTTCTAGCACAACCGGATATTTGAACATGTTGTATACGACAGATGCTGCCATTGTACTGGAAAATGACTGCCAAGGTTCTGTCACATCTTTACTTCCTGCAAAACTCGATACTCCTTTTACAACAGCCCATTCCATCTTAAGATCATACGCTGCTGCATATATACCTAAAATTTAAGCACAAAATGAAACATTACATGCCATGTGAGGATGTGTTCATTTTATAGACATCCTGCTGACGTATTCAGCAGCAATTGTGTATTTCAGATTTGTTGAACTCATTTGTTTTATCGTTGTATATTAAATATTTATTTGTATACAAGAGTTTACATGAAAATATCAACAATATTTAAACACGAGGTACTACATGACTTGCACCCCATGATGCAACCTGGTTCTAATGACAATAATTATCACATTCTGGGTTAAAAAATTTCAGTTATTTTTCAGTTCAGTATTCAAGTCACATAGAATATACCATGATACAGTAAACCTCCGAATATGAGCCACCTCCCAAGTATAAGCCCCCATATTCACTAACACTCAGGCCATTCTGAATATAAGCCCCCCTCCCCCGCGAACATAGGCCCCCCCGTGTATAATCCCATGGGCTTATTATTGGACAGGTAGTTATTAACACAGCGACGGGAATTCCAACAGCTGAGACAAGTGATAGTAAGTACATTACAATATTATAATATATTAATGTCGTCGTTGTTGTTGTTTTACTATGTGTTATATGTCTATTTGTAATTCTTATCGCATTTCTAATTCTTAACATAATTTTTGCAGCTGATTCACTTATATAATCAAACATAATTTAGCATCATCATATATATATAGATTTGAAATTGCTCTCAATTTCGCAAAACACCTATTTGTATCCGGTTTTTTATATATATAGTTTCTTTGGGTACTTATGATGTAGAATAATGAAAAAAATTTCTCGAACTCAAGATAGAGAATGTTTCAAGAGGACTAGTAAGGGTTTCCAATATTCTTCAGGGATCACGATATCCACGGGATACTGAAATTTGGTTTTGGATACGAAGTTTATTTTACTTGTATCCCGATGGGATACCACATTTTTTTTTAAATCGGGATAGCAGTTAATGTTTTAGTAGTCTGCCCACATTCTTGTTCAATAAATAGTGCTGTAACACAAGTCTAGCATTCGTCATAACGTTGTATTTATGTAGCCCACTCAGGGATGAATTTGCGAGTCGTCATTTTGAATAGTGTTTCTGTCGTAATCATAAAGTAATAATAGAAATGAAAAACCATACTAATTGCATGGCTTTATCCTACTTAAAGCCAGCTATAAACTTAATACGTTTTACAATGTACAAAATGGCCGACACTAAAATGACCAATGACTAACGCGGGCTCAGGTGCCATAGCAACCCAATCCGATAACTAATAAATATAAAGTTTATGTCATTCTTCCTCCCTAAAATAAAAGTTCAACTTACTATAATTAATTAAATAAACTAATGTAAAAGTCATCTTACTATAAGTTCAAATACTAGTAAACGAATAGTTCATTTAGCCTATTGTTTACCAACCATAACGAGATGGTGGTTTAACTTGACGAGTTGAACGTCTGAGTGCAGGTACTTGCGTTGTTGAATACTGCTGTGGATCAGAAGCCGTTGGCGATGTAGTTGAATCCTGTTGTGAATCAGCGGCCACGGGATCTGGAACATTCGGAGCTAGTCCGTTTTCCACTTCTCCGCTTGGCAGGGTTTCTTGTGGTTCATTCCGGACAGGAGTAATGGGGCAAGGAGCTAGATCTCGAAGGGAGACTGAGGACTCTCTTCCATCAGGGTACTTCACATGGGCGTAAGTGGGGTTTGCATCCGTTAGCTCTACTTGGTCGACAAACGGGTCGTTCTTGCTTGTTCTAACAAAACGCCTTAACAGGACCGGTCCCGGGTTCTGTAGCCAGGATGGTAGCGAAGTTCCCAGAGATGAACGTCGTTGGAAGTTGAAGAATCTCTCGTGTGGGGTGGTATTGGTAGAGGTAGAGAGGAGTGATCTTATGGAATGAAAGACGTCTGGAAGAACCAGTTCCCATTTTGAATCAGGTAGATTTGCTGACTTGAGGGAAAGTCGAACAGCCTTCCAAATAATACCATTATAACGTTCGACCTGGCTATTTCCAATTGGGTGGTAGGGGGTTGTTTTGCTTGTTGCTATCCCTCGTCGAGACAAGTACTCCTTGAGTTCCTGTGAAAGGAATGAGGCACCACGATCCGAGTGAATGTAACTAGGCATACCACAAAGGGCGAATATCTGATCAAGACATTTGATAACTGTCGAGGAGTGCATGTTTGGACAGGGGAACGGAAAGCGAGAATATTCATCCACCACAGTCAACAAATATGCATTACGAGATGATGTTGGTAGAGGCCCCTTGAAATCGATGCTCAATTGTTCCATCGGCTGCGACCGCTGCGTAGCTTTTTGATAAGGACTCCAGCCTGCTGTCGGCAAAACTGTGGTTTGAGCTCTGCGCAAGCTCTACACGATGAGCACGTCTTCTTGACATCTTGGGTAGAATAGGGTAAATTCTTCGACCTTATGAAATGCAGCATTCGAGTCACACCAGGATGGCTAAGTGCTGTATGGATTCCCATGAGACCCTCTGACGTTGACATTGAAGAAGTGAAAGCTCGGGTAAATGAATCTGGGGCTACATTGTCCTTACCAGGTCTGTGCTCCACAGTGTAGCTAAAAGAAGCTAATTCAAGTCGCCAGTCTTGCATTTTATTGTTCTTTATCTTCGTGCGCTTCCTGCTATCAAACATAAATGCGACGGAACGTTGGTCGGTTTTAAGTGTGAAGTGACGACCAGCAAGAAAATGTCGCCACTTACGGACTGCTTCTATGATAGCCATAGCTTCTTTCTCAACAGCGGGGTAATGTAGTTCACTACTTTGGAGAGTTCTAGACATGAAGGCAACAGGACGACCACCTTGGTTAAGTGTAGCAGACAAAGCGACATCTGACGCATCACTCTCAACCACAAAGGGAAGAGTTTCATCTATGGAATGAAGAGTTGCACCTTCAAGTTCCTTCTTAAGCCTATTAAATGCCGATAATGCTGCCTTATCTAGTGGGAAGGTAGTAGCTTGCGTCAAGGGTCTTATCTTATCAGAGAAATTCGGTATCCACTTCGCATAGTATACATGCCAATCACCCTGCGAAGGGAGCGGATACTCTCTGGCGGCGGAAAATCTTGAAGTGGGCGGAGTCTTTCCTCGTCAGGAGCGATCACCCCATTGCCAACCCGATAACCTAATACATTGATGGATGTCTTGGATTCGATTGATTTGCTTTCATTCAAAGTAAGGTTCCTGCGTTGGACTGCTTCATGAAATGCCTGAACATTTACGTCATGTTCCTTTTGATCTCGCCCAGCCACCGTTATGTTGTCCAGATATGGAAATGTGTCATTGAGGTTCTCCTCGTCAACAAAATTGTCCATTGCTCTCTGGAAAGCAGCCACTCCATTAGTGACGCCAAACGGTATACGGCAAAATTGATACAGTTTTCCATTAGCTTCGAACCCAGTAAACTTTCGATCGGACTCCTTTATCGGTACTTGATGGTAAGCACTCTTTAAATCAAACGTTGAGAAAACTTTGTATTGTGCTAGGTTGTTGATCATGTCATCGATCCGAGGAAGAGGGTACGCATCAAGCTCTGTGTATTGATTAATGGTTTGAGAGTAATCAATACAGAGCCTCTTCTTGTGCCGGTTTGAGGGATCTTTAGAAACAACAATTTGTGCTCTCCATGGTGTTATGGTAGGCTCAATAATTCCTTCAGACAGGAGTTTTGTAACTTCCTGATTGATAAACTCCTGGTCTTCTTTGCTAAAGCGCCTAGATCTACTGGCGATAGGCTTACATTCAGGGAGAAGGTTTCCAAACAATGAAGGCTCCTCGATGGAGGCTGTCGAAGAAAGAGGACAGGCAGGCCTAGGAATTACTAGTTCTGGTCTAGTACCGCCAAACTCTATGGTGACCCGCTTGTGCTTCTTCTGGAAGTCTTGCCCAAGGATAATGTCACTGCAGAGATCTTTCAAGACTCCCAAACGAATGGATGAGTAGGAAAGTTGATTAATTACAATATCCGTAAAACAGTGACCAAGGATCTGAGTTTTAAAAGATGTTAGGGCCATAGATATCTTCTGTGTTGATGGATGAAGCTTGAGAGACAGTTTCCTTGCCATAGTTTCACTTATAAAACTTTCCGAACTCCCAGAGTCAATGAGTGCTGTCAGTTCAATACCGCCAATAGAGACTTTTACAGATGCTTGTTTTAGACTTTCTGGACAACTTGCAACAATTGAACAAAGAGTAGGCGTGAACATAGAAGCAGTGGTGATTGAAGGCGCCTTTGACTTGCAAACTTTAGCATAATGTCCTTTCTTTCCACAGTTGTTACAATTAGAATTCCGGGCTGGACAACTTCTTCTGTTGTGGAGATTATCACCACAAAAGTAGCATTTCTTCGATGTGAATGTAGCTGCTAGAGAATCATAATCTAAGGCATGAGCTTCAGCAACCTCATCTGTCGGAGGGGAGGAGACTGCTGCAGTTGTAGGTATTTCAGGCATCCTATATGCTTCAGAATTTTTTTGAGCCAAGTCCAAGGCATTTGCTTGGTCAAAAGCAGTTTGAAGGTCGAGCTGTTTATTTTCTAGGAGCCGTTGGCGAATCAGATAAGAGGCCATTAATAAAGGAATCACGAACCAATTCCTCACGATACTGTTCAGCAGTTACGTTCTTAAGGCTACAATCTTTGCTAAGTTTTCGAAGTTCTTGGAGTAAAATGTACAAAATGGTCGACACTAAAATGACCAATGCTAACGCGGGCTCAGGTGCCACAGCAACCCAATCCGGTACCTAGTAAATATAAAGTTTATGTCAGGAAATGTCCCCGCTAATAAATTGACTTGTTATTTACCCTGTACCCCAGGGGAAATGCTGCATTAAGACCGCGTTACAGTTGATTTCACATAACTTTCACATAACAATTTCCTTGTGAAGTTCAAAAGTTCATACTGAAATTCACAAGTCTGTTTGTAAACAAAGCCTATGATTGGTCCCTTAACAAAGTAAGCCAATTAGAGGCTTTGTTTACAAAGTTCGGGACGAAATTCGCAACATTCAGGCAAAAGTTCTATGAAATCAAGTGTAATCCATGGCAATTTCCCCGTTAATTCCCCGCCCTGTCCCGCGGATCGGGGTTTCAATTGACTAGTGCATGCATAAACATTGCAAAGGTCCATTTTGTAAATTAATGGTACTATGTATTTAATCTTAATTTATAGGGCCTGTGAGTTCATATCTGGAATAAAGTGATCGCAGATCTACAGAAATATCACTGCTAAGGAGTGTCAAACAGGTTCAGGAGGACTGAAACTGGATGTTCTCGGGATGAAAAAGAAATTGTTGACTTTAATTGAATAATCATTTTCATTAATGTAAGGTTAAAAATATTGAACTTTCAAAAACGATGCAGACAGAAAATTGATACTCTGATGCAGTTAGTCTTCATTTATTTTTCTTCTGTCAATAACATCATTTAGTTTGCTAATACATTGTTTACTGTGTACAAGGTTTGCCATTTGAGTGATCCAGGAATGGGGTTGGCCCTCTGGCTAAATCAATTGAGGGAGATCTCTTTATTTCAAGTTAAATGATGATTTGAATAAGATGCCATTCAGGCAATAAGGGCCTTGTTAGGTCCATATTTTAATTCAAATTATTAAGTACTCGATTTATCCATCAACAAAACCCAATATTAAAATTTCCTTTGAGTCAGATGCAACAAAACCATCTATAGTTTATTAATTATGTTAACCTAACCCATCAACTGGCAATGAGCCTACTTTAGTATTTTATATACTCTATCCCTAATTTGCCCATTATATTTATAATTAAACTGACAGTTAATACTATTACTCTTTCACATACTAATAAAATCATCTGGGGCCGGTTGTTCGAAGCCTGTGTAGGCCTTTGAACTACCGGCCCCACATGATTTTATTAGTCTGTGAAAGATTAATTATTAACTGTCAGTTTATAAATATAATTGGCAAATATATGATTATGTATAAATTGCATGCATGGTTCATAATATCTCTGTGATAGACTTGCTCCAACAGATTCAAATTCCATCCTGAAAATACCTAAATAATAATTATGGAGATTGCAGTGTTGCACTACCTAAAAATACTGCCATGGTTTACCAGTATTATGAACTCAAAAGTCAAAACACTTAACACTATTTATAGATTTATGAATAGTACTTAGCAGGGTTTTTTTTAACGTGCAGTTCTACACAAAATGTGAGTTCTAAAACCATTTGTGCAGTTCTTAAAACTCAAATGTGCAGTCACCAAATTAACAAAAATATAACCTCAAAACAGTCTTTTCATTTACTCGTTTTCCTTGTGGATGCTCCAGATGCCAGAAATTCTGTCATTGAGCATCAAAAATCTAAATGTCTTCTCGGAGAGGGCCACCAGACCCTCATATTTTCCTCACAAATCACATATGTGCTGGGGTAATGGAACATGAGGTAAAATTGGGGCGAGCGGAGCTATCCAAAAGAGATTAGAGTGGAGAACCTAATATTCTTTGCTGCCTAAGGTTATTATATATCGAGTATTCATGATTCCCAGTTAACATGTTTTGAAACAGTTTTTGTGGGTGATTGGGTGAAACAAATCTTTTCCAGAATTCGAACTTACGTAGACTTGCTCCAAGTCTCTCTTTCATTGTCATATAGTATTGATCCACTATAGTGTACATTACATGACGTAGCACGGAGGGGCGTAGCGACAAAGAGAGACTTGCAACTTCGGAAAATCTCGGTTCAAAACTGAACCGAAAATGCAAGACTTGCTTTAATTGTTTTCTTTCAGTGTATATATGTATTGATCTAGCACAGTGTACATAACATGAGTTCCATTATAGTAAATAATACAGGCTAGAAAGAAATTGAAGGAAAGAATTAAAGCAAGTCTTGCATTTTCGGTTCAGTTTTGAACCGAGATTTCCGAAGTGGACAAGTCTCCTTACTCGTTCCGCCTGTCTGTGCTACGTCATGTAATGTACACTATAGTGGATCGATATGACAATGAAAGAGAGGTTTGGAGCAAGTCCAGAACTTACGAGCCTCTAAATTCAAAATTTGGGGGAACAACCCCCTTCCTGTAGCTTCCCCACCCGGAATCGAGTTTGACTGGCCCCACTCAACCACACCTTTATTCTGCCACCTATATACTAATTAAGAGTCTCATAATTTGCAACATTTACTATAAATTTGCAACGTTAAATGCACTGTGGATAAAAATCCTTTGACCCCCAGTCAAACATCCTTTGGCCCCCCCAGTCAAACACGTGATGCTTTGTAACATCCCTAATATGTGCAGTTCTAAACTTTTCTTAAAATAAACTCTGGTACTTAGAGTATTAGTATTGCATATAAAATAGTTTATAGTTATCTTACCTTTGTATTTTTACTGTAATTAATTCTTTACTTTGTATTTGTTCACTAATCTGTATTTTCTTATTTCAAAATAAACTTAATTTCATATCAAGAAGCGAAAGTGCTACGTTTTCGACATCCTGTCATTGGTCATCGAGCGCCTACTCCCGGTCCATGAAAGGACGTAGAGAACACTTCATTTTTGTGGGAATGGTCAAATTACCTGGTCTTTTAAATCAAGTTTTACGTGTTTTTCAAAACTAAAATTTTGCATTCTTATAACATGTGTAGCATGCATTCACTTTTTATTACTTTCACGTTAATTATCTTCTACTTTACCTGAATGATCAGCTGAAGTTCACTTGAAATTACTCATGAACAAATATTGGGACTGTTATACCACCGCTCCCATGCACACACATAAAACCGGTAACTAAGGCCCTGCCCCCGTTTTGCATTGGAATTTGTGTTGTTATTTTGGCAAGCCTAAGCGAGCCAGATAGTTTGGTGGCTAACCGATCCCGAAATTAAGCGGTGCCTTGTGGTGATTGTGCGATGCCGGAACTTATTCATAGCTATTAAAATCGTAACTAAAATACCACCGGTTTCCGTCTCTTTTTCTCGAGGTATTTACAATGGCAGATAGCAGATAGAAAGATTTTATAATGATAATAAAAATATTAAAGGAAAACAGAACATAACAAATAGATGAAAAGTTATTGATATAATCCAATGTCAACACGGAAACGTCGGAAATTTTTTTTCTTTATATTTCTTTGTGCTATATTATAAAACAAATACAAAACATATTTTTCCGTATTGATATGTTTAGGTTATATACCGTGACCGAAGTGTTTATGCGACATATCAACCGAGGCGCGCAGCGCCGAGGTTGATATGCGCACTGAGGCCTAAGGTATAGAACCTATACAAATAGGCCTGATACAAACCTAAACAAAAGTCCGTGTGTACAACCGTATTTCGGTTGTAAATCTGATTGGTCTGAGACAAAACATTTTTGATTTGTCATTTGATTGGTTGGTGCTATTTAGATTATACTATTGTTGTTGATATATTTTAAGGGATCACAACTATAATTAAAAAAAGTGTTGTCTTCGTGTGAAATTTAAATTTCTCCGGCGACATTTTGATTGGATACTAAATATATACTTTGCTGTGGGTGGAAAGCGATCGGATTAAGGTTTGTGTAAATGATATTATGTAGTATTTATTATTCAAAAACTCATTAATAATTCATGAACCATTTATCCAATCTTGAGTAAGAAATTAGTCACGTGCATACGTCTTTATTCCAGCTAAAGAACACTTTAACAAAAGACCATTGTTATGCAAACTATATAAATATTTTTATATAAATATTTTTATATAAAGATTTTTATATAAAGATTTTTATATAAAGATTTGACTTATGCATACGTTTTTGAAGCCATTTAAAAAACTCGCAGGTCGTGTTTTATTAGGTATAAAGCCACTCGCGCTGCGCGCTCGTGGCTTTAAACCTAATAAAACACTCCTGCTCGTTTTTTAAATAGTACATAAAACACGAGAAGGAATGTTTTATCATATTTAAAACGCGAGGCGCAGCCGAGAGTTTTAGATATGATAAAACGCGAGTTCGAGTGTTTTGAATAGTTATGTTATTGTACTGGGCAGCGAGGTAACAGGGCTGTGAGGTAACAGGGCAGCGAGCTAGGTCAAACAATACACTATCTTAGTCTCAGTGAGATGACATAAGCGAGACCTGGTGTCAGTTTCAAGTTTTGGAACATATAACTGAGACTGGTACGCCAAAAATATTTGTCCTATCTTAGTTTTAAGAGAGACCTAAAAAGAATCAAAAGTGTACATGGGCATAACAAGCAATTTTTTGTTAGCTATCAAAAATTAAACCATACCAACCTGTGTCAAGAGACACAATATCAAGATGGGTTAAAGTTGTCCTCGATATATAATGCTGGGATTGACACCACAGTATACTCAGCACATAGTACTCGAGTGGCTGCCACATCGAAAGCTTATCAAAGTGTACCATTGGACATATTGATAAAACAAGCAGGTTGCAGCTCGGACAATTACATTTTAAAAGTACTATAATTAGCCTGTAGCCTCTGATACGACTATGACTGAGGCAGTACTTACAACATGTTGAGTTGATAATAATATGGTTTTGTTCACCATGTCTCATGCCTAAATTTGGTATATGTCATTGCTGGGTACATCACGGTTCTAAAGTCTCGTGAGATCTCCTGACTCGGTGCCATGTGATAGAATTGGAAAATTAAACGAGACTTACCTGTAAGTTGAAGTTTGATTACATGTATGCCCTCCCTGCATCATACTACACATGTATAATATATGTACATATTATATTGCCCATGTCCCTACTTTTATCACTGGGTGTACTATAATTATCAATAGATAGCTTAAGATCTACGACGTCAACGCCAGCTAGAACGTCAGGGTTAAGCAGAGGACTGGGACTAGGACGTCGTCCTAAATAAATTAACTTCCACTTAAGTTTCACGACGTCGACATTTAAACTATAAATATTTACATACTTTTGAAAATGAATTTAAAAGAGCCGTGTGAATCCATTACCGTTTGTTATGCTCTTGTATTTACGATGGTAAAACTCTTGTTGTGAGGTCGACGTTTGGTGGACGACGAGCAAATTGAGAGAGACACATGCACACTTCAAAAACTATTACCAATTAACATCTGCTTGCCGCGCTAAATATTTGACGTCGTAGATATACTTGAGCTAGCGACTTATTTAGGACGACGTCCTAGTCCCAGTCCTCTGCTTAGCTCTGACGTCCTAGCGGGCGTCGACATCGTACGTAGATCTTAAGCTATCTAATATCCCTGTGTGTAATTGTACTGATGAACCCAACAAAATGCTTTAAATAATGAACCCGCGCATGCGCCGGGCTATCTCATGTAATCTCCTGACTCTATGTGTAATTTGATAGAATTCCAATCAAACTTCAACTTACAGGCAAGTCTCGTTTAATTTTTCAATTTTCCCCCCAAAAAATCAGCCTATAGCATGCTTAATTAATGCCTTCACGTAATTTGCATATTGCTGACAAATGAAAATTAGGCAAAGGCATTAATTAGGCATGCAAAAGTTGATTTTTTTAGGAAAGAATGTAAGTTTACGTGAGTAGTTAAGTAGCTTAAACAGAAGCAAATTGGCTGAAATTTTGTATACAGTAATTAAAAACCCAACAAATTTTTCATCCATTAAAGGACATTGGCAACCAAAATTATTTATTATTGTATTACTTATATATATTAGGTATACTTGCGGAATATTTAATTTCATATTTTGGCCGGTTTGTCGCATTTAGTTGTTGAGAAAATTTGATAAAAAGTTCAACAGTTGTCCGCCATTTTGAAAATAAGCGCATATGCTAATTTACACAAAATACATTATCTGACGTCATTAGCTGGGTAAACACAATTTCATGACTATAAACAATACTGTGTATTACCACGCGTAATTGTTTTCATTATTCTACATTATAAGTATCCAAAGAAGCTATATATATCAAAAGCTGGATATACTAATAGCTGTTTTTCGAAATTGGGAGCAATTGTCGCAGAATTCACTAGCTTCGTTCAACGAATATTTCTGCACGGCTGGTTCAACACTCACTTTTCTGTTTTACAAATTTTATTACACACAAATACTATACGTTAATTACAACAATCTGGTCTTACACTTTACGACCCCACGTCTACGACCCCACGTCGGCGATAGATATCGTCACACTAACTAAATTAGCGTTCGTCACGACATTTTATAACTTCGGTCCTGAAACCGTATACCTACATATTTTCATCATGAAATACATATGTCATTAACATAGGTTTGTTTCAATTCAGCTTATCTACAACGAATTTACAATATATGATCTCTGACATACATGCGTCACACAACTGATTGAAATAAGCAATCACACAACTGATTGCAACATACAGTTTCAACATATTTACAGCACATATCATATATATAATAAAGATTAAAGTTATAAATCCGACCGCAATTTAAAATAGTTTTCAAAAACAATAGTTTTTATTAGAACAACACAGAATAAGCTGTTATTTTCTATTTTTACAAAAACAAGTTTGAAAACAGAATCTAGTCCTCCAGCTTGATGTCATATTCCATTTATTTGGATATTTGAATAAAGGAATGTGATATAATAATTGAAACTTGTCCAAAATTTGATACCAACACTCAAGTGAACACACTGCAAAAAATCAATTTCTTGTTTTAAGAAAATATTACTTATTTTAAGCACAAAATTACTTGTCCCGTGGGTAAGTAAAATATTCTTGGTAAGAATCAGATTTCAAGAAAATTTTTCTTAAAATAAGAAAATTAATCTTGGTTAGAACAAAATTCTTGGTTAGAACAAAATTCTTGGTAAGAAAATTTTTCTCATTTTGTCCCGTGGGTAAGTAAAATTTTCTTATCAAGAATATTTTTCTTATTTCAAAAAAACGTTCTAGCAAAATTTTCTTATTTCTAGAAAAAAATTCTTAGTTTCCCAAGAATTATTTTCTAGTAATAAGAAAATTTTGCTAGAACGTTTTCTTGAAATAAGAAAAATAATCTTAATAAGAAAATTTTACTAGCCCATGGGACAAAATTAGAAAAATTGTCTTGAATTGAAATCCTGCTAAGAAAATTATTCTAGTTCGATCCGGTGTTCATGGCTTTTAAGAATATTTTTCTTAAATGAAAATATTGAACTAGAATAATAATCTTGGCATGATTTTTTGCTGTTGTCCTCCTACAATATAAAAACAATTAAGAATGTTTAAAATAATATATTTACCAGCTATACATGAATAGGTTATTAAAGTAATTACTGATAGATAAATGTAAAAGTTCTCACACATAGCAATATTGTTCAATTTCTTGAAAAGCCTTTACCATGTCAGACTGCTGAGTCTGGATGAGTGGCTGGGTAGTCTTGACTGCTGAGTCTGGATGAGTGGCTGGGTAGTCTTGACTGCTGAGTCTGGATGAGTGGCTGGGTAGTCTTGACTGCTGAGTCTGGATGAGTGGCTGGGTAGTCTTACGTCGAGCAGGTACAGTAGAACAACGCCAGGAAGTAAACGATGTCTTTTACGGTTTCACTATTCTCGAATGTTGCCAGTAGCTCCATGTCATGATCAGCTTTGATACAGTATGTCAGCGGGCCTCATTTGTAGCCAGGTAGTCAAGTCTGTGTCTCCTTCCTTTGAGGAAAAAAGCACAAATTAAAATAGTTTTGGTAACAACTACACAACCCTCATGAATTAACGGCTTATGTTTTTACTAACAAGCTATCCCCTGGGGTTATAGACATGCAGAGCGAAATACAATACACCCTTTTCATAAATGGCTGCCGATTAAAAATTCTTTTATGTGCATATAAGGTCATATAAATTGGCCCAACTAGCCTCGTACTCATGTTAAGATTTCAAAGGAATTTTTATTCCTTTTATAAAAGATTTTTAATCGGTAGCCATTTATGAAAAGGATGTATGATGGATGGAACAAGAGACATTCAGTCGGCAGATGTTAGCCCATATTAACTTATCTCAACTATATAGGAAAGCTCAAAACTAAGAAGATGTATATGTACACTAAATTGGATTCAGGCCTTACTAAATGAATTTTATAAAATGAAACTATAACTTCACCTCAACAAAGTTTATGATGTCCAGTTTGCTCTTAGCAGGTTGGCTTTTTGATTTGAAGAGTGAATTAAATGTTCTTCATTACTGTAGGTGATCAGAAGTACTTTCTATAGAATTACAAACATAAAAAAATAATATTAATTAAGTTACATTTTTAATAAAAGCTTTGTGATATTTTGAGAGCTAAACTAAACAATGCAATTTTTTTTTTTTATATCATTTATTAGTTACCGGTACAGTATAAACCAAAATGCAATTTTCATTCATTATTTTCTATTAACGACACCTAATGTCGGTGCTAATGAATACAATGTTGGTACCGGTACTCTAATTAATAAAAAAAACAAAATGATACGATTTAATTAGCAGATCACTGATCATGTGGTGGCTTCATAACTCCTTTTGAAATACCATAGTAAATAAGTGGGGTCCAATTGGTCAATCAGCTGCTGATTTTCACAATTCCTCATGTATGCGCTTTCTTCTGGTTGATTGAGGTTCCTTCAAACTTCTTCAACAACCTATTTGATGAGGGATGATGTACATTTTTTGAAAATAACCGCATACCTTATTCCAGAGTTTTTATTACCATGATACTGTAGCTCATATACTTTACTCAGTAGTCAGTAGTATAACTTTACTATTTTGACCACTTGTCCTTAGGGCAACTTGCCATCAGACAATGGCCACTGGGGATAACTACTGTAGGTAGGGGGTATAAATTAAGGGGACAACATGTCGACCCTTTCTTCCACTGCTCTAGATGCCTCAGATCTAACTTTGGCCCACAAAAAAAAAATAATTTGAATTCATGCACAAGTACAACATGGACTGTATAAAAAAATTATCCAGCAATGAAAACATAAATTTAAAGATGCCCAGCTTTTTGTGGCAATGATATTCACTTCCCGGGCAAGTGTTAAGTTAGAAGTTACAACTCTGTTACTTATTAAAAGCATGATATAACTTGGCATCCTTAACCAATTAACCACCATCACTCTCCCACTCACAAATAAAATTGTCTGGCGTTAGACAGGAATACAATAAAGGGTGCGATGCAACTTCATGGGTTAAAATTTGAATTTTTAACTGTGGGACCATGATTTCTGGGACTCAAATTGACCACAGTGACTCAAATTTTCCCACAAAAAGAAATCAATAATTTATTTGTAATCATTCTGTTATGTAGGATAGAGTTTACAACATGAGAAATAATTTTTGAACAGCCAAATCCATTAGATAGGTATAAAATGTAAGGGCAATGTTGTTGGTATTTGTGATTTAATATGCTATTGTCTCATTCCAGAAAACATTCATATGGTTATGATTTAACCTCAGTTGTATTGGAGATACAAGTGAGGTTAAATCAAGTGCTACTTGTTTCAGTAACCCATTGAGTGATAGCACTGACAGGTAAAATCATCTGACATTAGACCGAGTAAAACAATAAAGTTGTGGCACAATGCGGCTTATGCAATGTCCGGCTTAGTGTGATATCCAGTTAACACCCCATCTCAGCGACCAGCCAAACAACATGACCATGATGTGTCTGAATATTGTGCCCTGATGTGCCCTACTTCCTTAGTTTACTGTCTTTTGAATGCCAGGTTATTGTAGAGCTGTGCAAACTCCGGTTATTTTAGCTCTGGCTCCGGGTCTGACTCCGGCAGTCAAAACGCCGGGTCCGGCAAGAAAGTTTTAAAAAAATTCCATATTTCAAAGTGGAAGCAGGCGAAAGTATTTCAGTGTAATCTCAGAATTTATCTTTTTTAAAAACCTTTTTAAAACACTATTAATAGTAAACCACATAGTAATATATAGTAAAACAACATATAAATAGTAATATATTAGTAAACAACAACACTTAATTTTCCCATTTAATGCAAAATGTTTGTTGAAATAATTTTTCATAATTTTGTCTGTCGGCTCTCCGGCGCCCAGCTCTAGATTATTGTTCTCTGTCTAGCGTCAGACCATTTTACTCATTATGGCTAAGTGGAGAGTGCTGGACTGCTGGTGCCTAATTTATTAATGCTTTTTTTTAATATGGTCCCAGGCTAGACATTTGGCATGATCTAGCTTACAATATGAACTATATCGACTGTTTACAGTAAAGTGAATTATTCTACTTCTTTCTGGTCTAGACAGGATCTCATTATTTGTTGCCAGGATCACACTTGCCAGCACAAGAAATTCTCATACAAGCACTCTATCATCCCTGCCAGGCGGGGTGTATTCCGTCTATATAAACACACCATCCTGGGGCCAGTTGTTCAAAGCTGGGTTAGCTTAACTGTAGGTTAACCTAAAATTCAAAGCAAACTTCCTCACAGCGTGTCTATAAATTTGGAAATATTTCTTCAGAGATCTTGTCTGGATTGTTAGGAGTTTTCTTCTTTGAAATAAACAGACGTGCAGAAATACACAAACTAAAACAGCAGGTTAAATTTTAACCTAGGGTTAGCGTTAACCCACCTTTGAACAACCGGCCCCTGGATTAAAACCTCCTGTCCAGCCATGCCATTATCACATAAACAGGCACATATACGTATACAGGGTTCTAAGACATGTTAAAAACCTGGCGTTAGACAAGTGAAAAAACGTAGGGGCACATTCTGGCTGAATGGGTTAAATGCTTAATTTAAAGTCAATCCATTTACATGCTAAAACCAAGAAATGTGCACTGAATTGATAATCTTAATAATCAATTCTATATATTGGGTTAACAATTTTATGATTCAGATAGATAAGATTGCGATTTACTCAATTTTAATACTCTCAAATAATGTTCATGTTTTGGCTTGTAGCAATCAGCAATGTAGCCATATTTATATTCATATTAACATATAATTGTGTTATATACTACAGTATGTGGGTTCAAACATGCTTTCTCGAGTTTTGTCAAACAAGTGAAACCCAGTATTTACTATGTGTTTATTCAACATTTGAATTGTTGATTTTAACTAACATTTGACGGCATTGAAATGAAATAATTCAATATATAAAACCTCGCGCGCAAATTCAAATTTTAGCAGCCACAACACTACAACAGGCCAACAGCCACAAAATAAAATGGGTATTAAATACGGTCGATGTACGTTATAATTATATGATATAAACAATAATATTTCATACCTGAAATCAATAAGCCTTCGGCAGGATTCGGAAGGAAGCCTTCTTTGGGCAAAATATACTCAAACGAAAAAGTCGAAAATTTGCAAATCACACTTGAAATTTGATGCACGATATCCCACAACTTCTCTGCGCGCGTGACCCCTGTCTTCTAAAATAGATACATCAAAAAGCGCTCCCAATCTATCGTAGCGCTAGCTTGAAATTGTAGGAAGCATTAATCTGGCGGTCTCTGGCCAAAAATTGATTATAAAAATGATGAAAATTCTTATGAGCGAATAATGAGATAGATTTTCTAAAAAAGTTATATGCCAATTGCAATTTAAATATAAAATTTTTATTGTTTATTACAGTATTAACGTATCGCATGTCTTAACATGTGACAGCATTAATTGTGATGTCATAACATGTGGTGATATTTATACGCAAAATCTTGGGTAAATTTACACATCATTTTTTGCGGTGGATCATATCATCTTCATTAAAGTGTAGATAGACAATTGTTGCAAATGATTTGAATTCATGTACATGTATAATTGATATTTTTCAATAACAATTCATTGGCCATATACGGGCAAATTCATTACGATAGTGCCATGTTGAAACTGCGACAATTCAGGACAGAGCCGTTCAGCTTCAAATTTGACAAAAAAGTGAAAGATATACAATAGAACTAGGTTTAATTCAATTCAATATCATATATCGTTTCGGCCATGCAAAAGTTGCCGTCCGAAAGAAAGGTTTTGATATGTGCGATAAATAATATTAAACTTCATTTCAAGATTGTTTTTCTAATTATAAGAATATTATTCTAGGATGGAAAAATGTTATTCTTAAAATAAGAAAAATATTCTCTCGAATATTTTTGCCTTGTTATATTTTCTTACTTTAAGATTTTTGTTCTTAAAACTAGATTTTTTTCTTGAAATATTTCTTGATAAGAAATATTTACTTAACATAAGAAAAATAATCTAAAAAATAAGAATATTATTCTAGACTAGAATTCGATTTTTTGCAGTGCAGATACTATCACTTAAAAATAAAAGAAAACAGAACTTAAATTTGTCATATAATGCTATGAAAAAATCTTAGATACTACAGACATATAGTGAGCACAATTCTTTAATAACAAACTCACTAAAATAAGTTAAGTTATGCTATGATAAGAGGAGGGCAATATATGACAACATCAAATGTTACCATCTTCAGTGTCCAAAAAAAGTGCCGCGCGCATTTTTCCCAGCATGGGTATGCTCTCCCAGCATGGGTATGAAGGTTGACTAATAAGGATAGTTTTAAGCCATATTTCGGAGAGAGGCAATGGGCAAAATTTAAAGATATTTTTATTTATATGCCATATCACCACAGAATTTCACAAAGCAAGCATGCCTATATTCAGGATTGCCGTTAGACTCTTAAAACTGAACAAATCAATGCGGCATTTCTTATCTCATAACAACCAATACTTGAACATTTTCAAAATCATTTTTGCAGCAATTTTTACTTTATAACAAACCAATACAGGAGCAATTTCATAAGCATGTGACAACATGACATTTTCACTTCACAAGTGGATTTGTCAATTACAACATCTAGCACATTTTTCCAATGAATAGCTCAGGTTTTAATAAAACAAAGTATGATTTAACTTTCATAAAATATATTTTCTAACTATAGGCAACGGCCAGCTTTTACGAAATTGCAAGAGGAAAATGTGTCATTTCATCAAAATATATATTTTAAGACACTTATTCTTTCAGATGAGGAAGGACAAACAAATTATTGAACATACCTGTGGAAACAACAACAACTCAGCTTCTATCAAGAGTAAAATATGAACACTTCCTTGTTTCCATACTGCTGTACCCTGCTTCTGAAACTCTGACAATGAGTGAAACATTTCCACTTGTCGCCCATTTGTAAATAAAAATTCTTCGCACGTTTTGATGCGATTAAATCGTTATGTCGTTGCGTACAAGTACTACGACTTAATCTTTCAAGAAACACTTTATTCTCCATGAACAAACCAGTAAAAGAGGACAAAAAATCCTCTCAAAATGCATATTTTCAGCATTCGAAGAATCAAAATGTTTGTTAAAGAAATGCGCCCGCAATATTTAGACAGCGACAACAGAATGCCCAGCTGTTAGGCCTACTACTTTAGTGAGAGCTGGCTACTTGTAATATTTACAAGAAATAAGATGTGTTTCTATTATTATTACTATTTTCGAATTAACTAACAATACAATGATGCCTCTAGTAAATACTACAATTCATAAAACTCAAATTATATTAGTCCAAAAGCATATTGTAACGTTGGCCAGTGCCCTTCCCTGAGGGAAGAGCATTAACTGTCAATGTTTGTCAGCTATTATCAGAATACAACTCATGTTAGCAGTCCAGATCAATCATATTTTTTTAATTTTTGTCTCGCTTTCTCACTGTACTGACTTTTTCTTTTCTCTGCTTATCTGATTTAAATCTTTCTCATTGTAAAAAATTCTCTTATACGGTACCGTGTTTCAATATTTTCATTTCATCATTTCATTTTTCAAGCCTTCTCCTAGGCAACCGATCACTGATGGTATGACTTTCCCTCTGTATCGTTCCCGTCTTTCCCTTTGTTAAAAACACAGCTGTTGTTACTTTCTTATCTTCTCATCTCGTTTCACATTTCTGTTCGACTCATTCGGACACGCCATATCTTTTGGGATAATCTCTTTCTTTTCGCTGTCCTCAAGCGTCATATCGAGTCTCCTGGCCGTGCAACTTGTCCTCATTCTATGTTCCCAATCCCAAAATAGCTTTTTCCCATTATTCTCAATCACTTTTCCTCTCTCCCATTTTTCTGTGTACCACTTTGTTCCTTCTGGTATAACAATTCGATATCAAGCGCCCATTGATTTGACGCAGCTCTAACGGTCATATAATCAGCAACTTAACAAGTAAATTTTTGCCTTTATTTATCACTTTTGCATAAGCTTTGCGCTTGACGATGTGATCTGCACCAATAATAGCGTTTATTACTCAGCATAAAATAAATTTATATGAATTTTTCAAGTCTTAGATGTGCAAGTTACGTCATCGCCGCCATATTGGAAGAGTTTGACAAAAAATATTTTTCGTAGCAATTAAAACCCCACATGCTCTTTGTCTCCTCTTGTTACGCAATTGTCAATTAACGAATGTTCCGGAACATCTGTAAATAGCGACAAAATCCCACCGATTTTCCGCCTCCTCTTTTTCTCGAGATATTTACAATGCCAAATGGCAGATGCAAAGATTTTATTATTATAATGAAAAAATTAAAAGACGAAAGAGTATAAAATATAAATGAAAAGTTGTTAATATTTTTAATAAATAACATAGAAATAATAAGCGAAAGGATTCCATTAAACTAACACACAATCATTGGCAAAACATATTTGAGCAAGCATATATGAAATATATAATAATATTGTGAGATTTTAGCATGCAGACTATATTTAAAGAGCACTAAGTTCCTACTTATAGAAAGCCCAATACCAAAATGATGAAATTTCAGCAGATATTAAGCTTTAAAATTCTTTATTACTAATTTTAATTAAGTTCAATTAGATCTATAAAAAAACAATCGTATAGACTAATGGTATTTACTTGACCCGTTATTCGAAATGGCCAACAAGCATGGATGAACAAAATATGGCAGAAAACAAATTACTACAGATTCAACTTCGAAATAAAGTGCGCCTGCATGTTCACACGGATATTTTATCGCTGTCTCTTGGAGCTACTTCAAATGTATTTCTTCTCATTGCATTTATGAAGGACTCCTTGAAAAAAGACTTTCCGTAATCCTTATAATTCAAAACAATTTATGATTATAAAAATTGAGAAGAAAATCTTTCGAATTAAAAATGGAATTTGCCGCACAAATTTAAGAACGTTGCAGCAAATGTAAGAACTAAAGAGACAAGCACTGTCAAAGTATTTCAAAATCGCTTCGACCTTATAGTCCATATATGATTCATATAATATTACGATAATTTAGCTGACAATAATAAATTTAAGATCGTCGTTACTTAGAGAAGCCCAATATCAATATGAGTAATGTTTCAGCAGATATTATTAGCATCCTTAGTTATAAATTTATGAGTTTTGAAACTAAAGTTTAATTATTTTTACGAAATTGCCAACAAGCACGGGTGCACAAACTATGGCAGAGAACAATATTACTAGATCTAGCTTCGAATTCATGTACGCCTATACAATTGGATATTTATTAATCGCTTTTGTGGGAACTTCTTCAAATGTATTACTTCTCATTGCGTTTATCAAGGATCCTTTGAAATGCTTTCGAAATTCATCGACATATTTTATTATGAATCTCTCCGTTTCTGATTTATTGACGTGTTTATTTGTTCCCTTTATTCGCGACATCGTTATTACTGGTCTGGATTCAGTTTTTGATCTCCTTTATTTATCTTTTGAGAGTGCTTCAATTATATCGATAGCTTCAATTTCTATTGATCGTTTCCTAATAGTCGCTCATCCGTTAAAGCATCGCTATTTGATTGAGAGAAAAATTATAGTATTGTGGTTATCGGGTATTTGGCTTGGCAGTTCCATTCTCCCCATCTTACGCCTGTTCTATGGCGATAAAATGAAAGATGTTCTTTCAATGAACTGTTTTGGTGTGATCGCAATTGTATTTTCTGCAGCTATGTACATGACTACATATTCGAAATTGAAGAAACACTCGAAGAACATCGCTTTACAAAATTCAACTGAAAGTCGTGCACAAGAAATAAGGATTCTTAAGGAAAAGCAATTTTTAAAAACAATAATTTTCATTGCATTCATTGCGTTTGTTTGTATTGTGCCTTCCATGACATATTTTCTGCTGCGTGATTCCCTACGTTTTTCGAAAGATAATTTGGTACACGTGATTCTTGTTGAAATATTATCTCTAATATTTCATCTTAACTTCGCCGTCAATCCTTTAATTTATATCGTACGCTTGCGGAATTATCGCAAAACATTTTATTTGATTTATTGCAGAAGAGGATCTCAATATTGAGAAGTCGGAGTTGTATTTCGAATCCGTGTTTGTGAGACTATATACTGGTGCACCTGCCGTATTGTGAACATCAAACCCCGATCCGAGCACTTTCAAAATTGTATTGAAACCTCTATAGTGACTTCTGCACCGTAGTGGTGAAAAATACCAAACACCGTTTTTAAAAGTGAATAAAGGAGTGCTGCAAGGAGATTGTTTAAGCCGGTTGTTGTTCAACATGGTATAATGAACACGTTTATCCAATAAACTGAAGCGAATCAGTTTTGTATAAACTTGGATTTAATGCTGGGCAGCCGTTTCAAAGCCCTAAACTTTTATTTGATACGCGGTGATAACAACAGATGAGGAGTACGAGACACAAATATTATTAAATGCATTTACAATGTGGTGTAATGGGGCAAAAATGACATTTAAGAGTCGACAAGTGCAAGTCGTTCGGAATTATCAAAATAACTCACAATAGCCAAGCAGCATTTTCCGAAAATTTACGTTAACCATTGATGGCTTAATTACAGCGGTAAAGCGGAAATCGTCGAACTAAAGAATATGTATCTACTTCTACATTAATTAAAGTCTATGATGCAATAATTTTGTACCATTTTGATTATTGCAGCCTTGTTTGGGATGAATGCGCGGATTATTTATTAAAAAAACTGCAAAAATTACAAAACAGAGCGGCACGAGTAATCACTGGCAGTAGTTACAAGATAAGTTCCGAAAACTAATTAAGTGAACTGGACTGGCTACCCTTGAAAGATCGTTTCCGGAACAAGATTTTACAACTTACCGATAGATAACGTAGAACATAAACAGTTATAATAATAATACTGGGTTTTATTAGTATACGTATATGGAATAAGATAACTTAATTGTCATGTATTTTCATAGGTATACTACTACTAATCTATTAAAATGTTATTAATCGCTGTTCTTCTCATTGCGTTTATGAACGACCCTTTGAAAAAAGACCTTCCGTAATCCTTATAATTCAAAACAATTTATGATTATAAAAATTGAGAAGAAAATCATTCCAATTGAAAATGGACTGATTTTCCGCACACATTTAAGAACGTTGCAGCAATTGTAAGAACTAAAGAGACAAGTACTGTCACAAAGCATTTCAAAATCGCTTCGACCTTATGATCCATATATGATTCATATAATATTATGATATTTTAGCAGACAATAATAAATTTAAGTTCGTCCTTGCTTAGAAAATCCCAATATCAATATGAGTAATGTTTCAGCAGATATTATTAGCATCCTTAGTTATAAATTTATGAGTTTTGAATAAAGTTTAATTATTTTTACGAATAACAATCACATGGACTAATCGAAATTGCCAACAAGCACAGATGCACAAACTATGGCAGAGAACAACATTACTAGATCTAGCTTCGAATTCATGTACGCCTATACACTTGGATATTTATTAATCGCTTTTGTGGGAGCTATACTTCAAATGCATTACTTCTTATTGCGTTTATCAAGGATCCTTTGAAATGTTTTCGAAATTCGTCGACATATCTTATTATGAATCTCTCCGTTTCTGATTTATTGACGTGTTTATTTGTTCACTTTATTCGCGATATCGTTATTACTGGTCTGGATTCAGTTTTTGATCACCTTTATTTATCTTTTGAGAGTGCCTCAATTGTATCGATAGCTTCGATTTCTATTGATCGTTTCCTAATATAGTCGCTCATCCGTTAAAGCATCGCTATTTGATTAAGAGAAAAGTTATGGTATTGTATATGGTAATCGGGTATTTGGCTTGGCAGTACCACTATCACCATTTTGCGGCTGTTCTATGGCGATAAAATGAAAGATATTCTTCCAATCAACTGTTCTGGTGTGATCGTTATAATACTGTCTGCAGTCATGCACGCTGCTACATATTCAAAATTGAAAAAAACATTCGAAGAAAATCGCTTTACAAAATTCAACTGAAAGTCGTGCACAAGAAATAAGGATTCTCAAGGAAAAGCAATTTTTAAAAACAATTATTCTGATTGCATTCATTGCGTTTGTTTGTATTGTGCCTTCCATGACATATTTTCAGCCCCATGATTCCCTACGTTTTTTGAAAGATAATTTGGTGGACGTGATTCTTGCTGAAATGACATCTCTGATATTTTATACTAACTTCGCCATCAATCCTTTAATTTATGCCTTACGCTTGCGGAATTATCGCAAAACATTTCATTTGTAGAAGATTGTAGAAGAGGGTCTCCATGTTAACAAGACGTAGTTGTATTTCGAACCCGTGTTGTGGGACTAAATCCTGGTGCACCTACTATATTATGAACAGATTGACTATATAAGTCCTTATAAAAAATTAGAATCACATGCAACATACGTGTGTCTTTACAATATCACTGATAAAAATTCCAGCAATAATGTACTAACTACGAACTAATAAATTGATTATAGCTATACCTAACAATCATTTTAGAATGAATTAAAGTGTAAATTAGATTAATGTGCAAATTGCAGCTGTACCTCCTTCTTAAAAATAATTAAACAGACATCTAGTAAAAAGTAGCGTTTGAAACGTCCAGTTTTAAATTTTGGAAGAGTAAACGGATGCCCCTTTTCCCTCGCTACCCTATCTCTCTTTTCTGGAAGTAGATCATATAAAGCTAGTGTGATCACGATAATTCGCGATTTTATGCAATAATGTTTTGTCCCGCTCTTCTATCAGTTCAGACATTTTATATTCCTTTGAAGCGCATCTGTATCGGTGGGCTAGTCTGAA